CATGATATCGCATCGACATAAGACCGCATGACATTCTCCCTCTCTCAGTCCGAGCAGGCCGGCCTGCGCAATTGCAGCAATAGAGCCCGGATTCCCTACAAGGGTAAAGCGGTGGGCATCGACGTGCGTGGAAGGGGCGGGATGTTGTACACCGCACCCAGCAGCTACACGGGTCTCGATGGCAGGCTCCGAAGCTACGTGTGGGACCACGAGATCTTGCCCGACCGTTCCAATCTCCGAGCCGTGCCGGACTGGCTGATCTCCATCTTGAACGACAGCAATGAAGCGTCAAGCGGGACTCGTCGGCAGGTGCCTCGGGATGGAGATGGGGCCCGGTATGTGTCACGGATTGCCTCGGTGCTCCATACTCCTTGTTGTCTTCGCTCTGTCTTTTTGCGCCTGGTGAATGTTTGATCTGAGAAGAATGTAATGCAATTAGTTCAAAGATGATTGGTTTGGCATGTGGTTCCAGTGGGTGCATGTCTAGTTGTCCAGACTTCAGCGCAACCTTGTTGTGACTGTAAGAAGTGACGTCAGCAAGAGCGAACGACAATCATCATTTATTTGGACTCTCTGCGTTTCCAGAGGTTTAACACTGTAAGCAAGTACACTGGACTGTTGTTCGGTTGCTGAAACGATGTGGATGATTCGTAGTGTCCCTATTGAAATGACAACACAAACGATTTGCTTTTGTGCAGCGAGCCGCAGGCTGTACCGTTCGGACCTCCTCGTCCGATCGAGGACCCTCAGCGCATTCCTCCACCAGTAGTTTTAGAGCGCGTCAAAGCCTGCGTGGCGGCCACCGGTGACGACGCCTCCTGCTTCGATCGCCTCAAGATGGGCGACAGGGGCCCAATGTACGTCTTTCGAGTGGCTGGCCCCCGACGTTGTCCGTACGGCAATCACCACGACGGTTCCAACAATTTCTCCGTGCTCGTGCGCAAGAGGGACCTGCTCTATTTTTGTAACAGCTCGGAGTGCCAGGGGGTCCGCCCCGTGCTCAAGATTGGAGAGCTCACGTGCTCGGAGGCGATGAGTGGGGGCGAGACTCGGGCTTTCAGTGCTGATGACGTTTGCGCGATCAACAGCTTGCACAAGAGATTCGTGGACGCTTGGGCCTTTGAGGGAGATGTCGGTGGCAGCAAGATTGTCGCTGAGATGTACGCAGGCTGCGGCAGGTGAGAATTTTGCGAGATACACAAGAAGTCGCTTCAGCAACACATTCAGAGGATCTTTCAAATCGTCGACGGCTTTTCTCAGACACTTGGAGTGGATACGGCATCCTTGGAGTGGATTTCAAGTAGTGCTCTGTTCGCGGTGAAGTGTGTTCTTGGCCGCTTGAAGCATTCACACTTAGCCGGGGAGCCTCGGACGCCTCTGCAATAATGTCTAGGGTGGTGAAAAATGCTCAGCAGAGGGTGGAAGCTGCTGACGTTATCAGACTTTAGCTCCCGTCTTGGCGCCTTTGTCTAGGGGTCCAAGGTCCATTGCAAACCTTTCCGTTGTCAGACAGATTCTAGCAATCTTCATGTCTGCTCGGATGCACAGGCTGCCATTTGAGAAGCTTCCGTTTTAGCTCGTGTGTCCAAGTGTCCAAGGTCTATCACCAACTTTTGTCGCGACAACCAATTGCTGACGTCATCAAATTCTGGGCCAGTCTTTGTGTGTCCAGGTGTCCAAGGTTAATTATTGACTTTGTATGGCCGCCAAACGCAGACGTCAGCATCGTGCTTTGCTCTGTTGAGATTACTTTCTACTGCCAACCTAAACAGCTTGGACACTAACCGGACGCTGATCCAGACTGTTGTGAATCAAATTTACTTCATTAGCACTCAGGCTCCAAGGGTGACGTCAGCAAAAAGGAGTTTAGATTTTTCATTGGAGAAAACTTGGACACTTGGCCAGCCAGCATCCATCTCCTCATGTTGTTGCCTTTGCAGGTTGTGCTTCGATGGTGAATTCTGGCACTATTGGGACGGGCGGCGCGTTGTAGCTGATGAGAAGAGTGCATTCTTTGTGAAGAACGTTCTCATCAATCAGCTAAGGATCGTCGACAAGCGAGTCCGGGACGAATGGAGTGCAACGATTGAGACCACCCGGGATGAGGAACATCGGGAGGTGCTAAAACAGCAGCTGAAGCGCCTGCGCACGTACGACAACAGCCGAGAGATGGGCAGTACTCTGGAGCTCGCCCCGGGGGAGCTATTTGTCCCCAATTTCATCCAACAGCTGGATGCAAACCCAGATATACTGAACGTCAGAAATGGCGTGCTCAATCTGAGAACGGGCATGCTCGATGCACACAGACCCGAGTACATGTGCTCAAAGATTGCAGAGACAGATTCCATGGTGAGCCCCCACTTTTGCTCAGATCGACAACCAAGCCCTTGACAGAGCACGCTCGGATTTATAAGGTTTTACAACTCTTTCAAGCGCCGAGCAGGTTCGCTGCAATTGTCTTGTGGAAACAGCAATTGAAACTTCGTCTCAAAATTGATTGGCATCCTGAATTGCCAATTCTACCTCACTATGTTGCACATTGTCTTTTAGAGATTATCTGTTGTTGTTGGCGTTGGAGTCGTTTCTTTGTTTGCTAACGCAACACCCAAGAAGCTGGAGTGGTCGCATTATAGAATGCAGCTCTCTTTCTGCAGGGGATCGAATACCCAACGCCGCTCGTTTGTAACGATTACGACTGGTTAAGCCTAACCTCGTTCTCGACAGGATTTCGTTGACCGCGAGTTAGCGAAACGGCGGTGGTTACGTCTTAACGACGCACTGCGTAGCTGTCTGCAAGACGGCGTAATATCCCGGATGGATCGGCTTCAGTGAGCCGATGTTACCGTTCAGGAT